AAACCGAAGGCTTCAACTGAACTCTTGTAGAAGGAGCATACGACCGTCCATTTGGCATTAGGAGTTTTGTCCGACATCTTGGTCACCAGTCGCACAACCATGGACACTATCTTGTGATCCCCATTTGTGCCAGACAAGAGGAAATGTATGCCAAGAAACGCATGCATAGCAACAAGTCATCATTGTTATGCACAAGAGTACGTCATACGGCTATTACGCACGACAAAAAAAAAGCGGGCATGATACTAGGGTGCGCTGTCTATGGTAGGGGAAGACTACATAGCAAAAAAAAAAACAACAATGAGAGAGAGAGAGAGAGAGAGAGAGAGAGAGAGAGAGAGAGAGAGAGAGAGAGAGAGAGAGAGAGAGAGAGAGAGAGAGAGAGAAAACGCAAAGGGCTTCATCTTTCGTCCATTGCCCCATTTCGTGTTTGACCTGACCACTCATGGCCGGAGTGCCCGACGAGACGTGCTGCGACGTATGGCAGCGCTTGCGTCCCCTTACACACTTGACAAACACACCTGGTGTTGGAGCGCCGTCTTGCACGGGGATGTCCGTGTCTTGTGGGTTAGACTGCATAGCCGCAACCCTAGCACTCCCACGATCATCTTCCAACTCCCTGTCGGCATCGTTACCAATGGAAGCATACATCCATTTGGCTCCACTGCCATAGCATACCTGTAAAGCTAGTTCCAACCAAGGCACTTTGTTGTGCTGCCACCTCCACAAGTTAGCCCAAAGTGGCAGCACCTCCAAGTGCATAACAATTTCTAGGTGCAACGGATAACCAACAAGCAAGGGGAAACATTCGGCTGATGAACAATAACCAATGACCGGAGGGCAGAAGAGCGTGAGGAGAAACAATGAGGAATGTAGAAAATAATCTCATAAGTTGGGGAACCAACGCGCAAGCAGCAGGGGGGAATTATCGCGGATGCGGGTACAAAGAGAAGAGTTGGGAAAGGACAAAAGAGCATGCGAAAAGAGAGAAAGGGAAACAAAGTGCAAGAGTTTGAATGAAGAGCAAAGGAGAGCTGAACCTTAGGGGGGGGGAGGGAGGTTGGAGGGGCAAAGAGGCAAAGAGGACTGTAAGCTAGGTGCAAAACAAAAGGTTAGAAGCAGGGGGGTAGGGGGCAAAGCTTTCAAGGAGCAAAATACAAAGAGCAAAGAACAACAAGGGGGTACTTACACCGGTATCCGGGTCGAAGAAGTCCTGCTCAAGATTCCAGTGAACCCCAGACCCAGCGTTTAAAACCAGTGTCTAGTGTTTCCGTAGGATTCACACGCGCGAATTTTGTGTGGCCCACAAGCTGCCAGATGTGACGAAGAGTTTGACGAGATTAACAAGAGTTGACAAATTTTAGGATTTCGCCCCTCGCAATCCAATCACATCGTGGGGGGGCTTTCATTTGCAAAACAATAGAAAATGCCTAGACCTTGGTTTTAAGCACCTTCCGAGGATGGTGCGGTTGCTGCAAGGTAAGACCCATGTCGTCATGCTTCACATTCCACCGAGACATAATCTGCTACCAACAAGTGACAAGAGCCGAAAGAGGGTGCCCATTTTCTAGCTGGGTCTCCGTAATGATGGTTAGGAATAGAGATGTATTCGTCGGTCCACTGGGGTGGCGACACTTTCCCCGTTAGCATTGGTGCTAATGTACGTCCCCTCTGTCCCCTCCGTTTCGGCCAGGGTTTGTGTACCAACTGTACCAGCCTCCCTCCCTCCAAGATGCTGACCGCCATGATTGGAGACGTCCAGGGCTTCTTCAGGAGGCCTTGGATTCTTGGTGGCGCCCGAAACAAAGCTGTATGCCACCCCATTGGCCTCGTTGCCAGCATACATGGCCACACGAATTTGCGATCGCCCATTGCTGGATTGCAATTGAGTAGACACTTGCACGGAGAGCTCTTGCAGGATTGGCAGCAGGTTTTGGTGCTCATGGAGGCAACAACAAATAGTTTTATGCAGGGAGTAATGGTTTTATTGGTGGGAAGTTATTTCGGTGCCCTATCTTGGTTTTCTTTGGTGGTTTTCACAATGCCTGCATCAACACAGTGTGTTATATTGCTGGAACGTGCATGACTCAATGAGGTGGGTATTAGTGCGTACGTAGAGCAAGGTACAAAAATGCAGTAGGCATATTATACGGGCCATATCATACGATCGTATTAGATGGCCATTTAGTTGATAAAAAAAACGGCGTACTTTTGCTCGAAAACTCCAGTTGCATAAAAAACAAAAATGGGCATAGGAACCACTGGGCACCGTCCATGTGGTCTCCAACAGTGACTACAACAACAGGTACGCCATACAAAGAGGTGAGCCAAGTTCCCTACTCTCCCCCTTGCTGCTATTCCTCATCCTCTTTTCCTTGGTGCCGAGCTCCCTATCTACCCCTACTACTATTCATCATCCTCCTCCTCTTCCTTGGTGCGGAGTTCCCTACCTACCCCTACTAATATTCCTCACCCTCCTCTTCTTCCCCAGTATCCTCCTCCTCTCCGCTCTCGTCCCATGGTGCACTTCCTTTGCGGCTCTTGGTGGTTTTGTCCCCCTCACTCTCATTAGAGCTCCCCGCCTCCTCCTCTTCCTCCGACTCTTCCGCTTTCTTCTCCTTGCCCTTCTTGGACCCGCCCTTTTTCTCAGCCCTCTTCCCGGCCTTGTTCTTGGCGGCCCGTTTCTCCTTCCTCCCATTGGCTGCCCCGAATGTGCTCCAATCAATGGTGCAACCCATTGCATCTTCCTCCTCCTTCTCCATCTCGGGTTCTTGAGGGGGGGGCTCGGGTAGGGTGCAGCCTTCCTTGATCCTCCCCAATGCGTGGAGGGGGTTGTGCAGCTGCACATCCCACCTCCTTGCAATGATCTGCTTCACGTTGGCCAAGAAGGCGGGCCTATCCTTGGACTCCATGAGCTCTGTCTTCTTGATGAAGAAGGTAGCTGTGGTGGGGGTGTTAGGGAGGAGTGTGAGCGAGGGAACAGGCAGGGAATACAGCGGGGAACAGGTTGGGAAAGATGTGGTAAGGGGACATGGCTGCAGGACGGTTGACTTATCTGGCAGTAGATGCCGCTTCGTTGGTCTTGATCGTGGCCACAAGCATGAGGCCATAGATCTTGGCCATCAGCAGCGAGCACGTGTCCACTGCCCCCAGAACCTCGTGCACCGGTAGCATGAGCTGCAGTACGATGTTAAAGGACTTCCAAAACTTATCCTCCAGCAGCATCGTCCGAATTTCCAGCTCCTCCTTGGTCCCACTGACAGCAATCGTCGTCCACTGTTCACTCATGACCTGCAGCAGAGACTCCTTCACAGCAAGGAACCGAGTGATCATTATCACCTGGGTTCCGAACAGTGTGGCACCAGGTTTCACCACCTCGAGGGCACTGAAAATCTCTCGGAAGAGAGTGACGGCGCTCGCGCTATTCTTCAACATCATCACCACTTGGTGTGCCTCTACTAGCACCTTCAGCACGTCGGGGATTTCCCCAATGTCGACAAGCATCAGGTCCAAGCAGTGGTCTGCGCAGTTGGTGAAGAAGACGGCAGGGAAGTCATCCTTTAGCAACGTGATGACCTTTTTTTTGTTACTTGCGTTGTCCATCACGACCTGGACAACGCATGTATCGCCAACATCACACATCGCTTTGCCGATCAAGCCCGCCAAATAGGCACACGTCTTCTTGGTGGTCTTACAATCCACAACGGCGACGAGCACGGGCCCGCTCTCGTTTTGAATGATGACGCAAACGATAGCGCGACTCTTCAGACAGGACCACCTATATACAGCGAGGCTACAGTCGACAGTCTTCCATGTCTCCTTGCGTGGCGACACCAAGTCCTTGGTGTTGGCCTTCAGCTTCTGGAGCAAGGGTCCTGACACCTTGTATGCCGATGGGAGATTGTACGGCTTCTTGAATGCTACAGCTGTGCTCACGAGCGCTTGCAGCACCTTGGACTTGGTGGGTGGGATGGGAAAGGGACTTAGGTTGATGAGCATGCAACGAAGAAGGCGAGGTAAAATTGCATTGACCTCTTCAGCAAGGAGCATCGACATCATTACGGGGAGGGTTAATTACTGCGAACAACGGAAGGCCTCATCATTCTCGGCCACTGCGGTCACCCATTAGTAGTCAAGGCGCTCCTGGGCGGCTTGATCCGTCATTGCGCGAATATCGAGATGGCCATTCGGCTTCACTGTTGTCCCATCGCTGATCGACGTGGAGAGTGCGCCATGGGAAGATCCTGCGGCGGTATCCTTTACGCACAATGTTTGCACGAATTCGGAGGTACAAGTGGCGACGTTCTTTGACTTCGTAGCGGGGGTACGAAAGAGATGTTCCTTAATCCGCGTCATGCACAGCGTCATGGATTGTTGGCAATAAACACACTGTGTCTTTAGCAGCTTGCCATCATCATCGAAGGTGCGCTTGACGTACTCCCACATGGGAGACGAAGTGCGCAGCATGGCGGAGCTAGGCTAGTGGGCGCTGCTTCTAGAAACGAAGCTTGCTAGGAAGCTTGTTCTCTAGATTGTGGGATATACTCACCCATATACATGCTCCACATTTGAATGTGCCTTGCTCTGCAAGGATGGATGAGAATGTGAGGGCTTTGGAGGAGCTGGATAACACGGTAGATGAGGAGATCATCTATACTGCACTCCAAGGGTTGGATCAAGCGGCTAATGAGGCATTACTACAGTACCTTCACCTCGAGCAACAGAAATGGACCAAGGTGTGGATTTGGGAGGTTCTAATTTCTGATGAGGCTCGCAAGGTTGATGCTGGAAGAGGCCTAGAAGGAGGCATGGGTGCAGCAGATAAAGCTTCTTGCAGGAAAGGCTATCAACAGCAAGGAGGTGGGGGGAAGAAGAAAGAGTTGGACAAATGCCTTGTGCCCGGATGCAACAAAAAACACTCTTGGAAGAGTTGCTGGAGTAGGCCTGAGGGATGGAAGCCTCACGGCTACTCTGGAGAGGCCCCACCAGTGACCAAACCTGATTGGGTGGAGAAAAGGATGAAGAAGGGGCTCTGGAATAAGAAGGGCAGCAAGGGAGCAATGGCCGCAGCTGCTAAGGATGAGAAGGGGAAGGGCCAAGACGACTCCTCCGATGATGGTTTCTCGTTTCTCATGCTAGGGCAGGATGCATCTCTCGCTGGTCGTGCATTGGCTGATCCCAACTTCCTGGTTCTAGACTCTGGAGCAACATCTGGGATGCTTCCTCGCCGTGATCTCTTCACCTCCTACCATCCTCTCCCACCAAACTCTAGGAGAGTGATTGTTGGGAGCGGAGAATTGCTGCACGCAATTGGCATCGGCACGATCACCATTAAGGGGAAGGAGGGGGAGCTAGTGGGTGTGAAGGGGGTCCTTCACGTCCCTGGTTTGGCTGCAAACCTCCTTTCATGCTCGCAGCTGGCTAAACAGGGATACATCTGCACTTTCACTGAGGGAGGGTGCACTGTTAGAAAGGGTGAAGCTGTGGTGATGGAGGCAAAGCTGGACAAGGGTTTATACCTTGTTCTAGCTTGTGTGCCTAATTGTTACAAGGAACATATGGTTTTTTCTGAGGAAGCCGCTTGTAGCACTCGCTGGAGGCAGGTGGAAACGGTGTCACCTGAGTTGCTACACCTTCGCATGGGGCACGCGGGGAAGCAGCAACTACTGGAGTGTGTGAAGAAGGGGGAGCTGAAGGGGGTGGAGGTCAAGGAAGGAGCTGGGCAGCAGAGAAAATGTCCTGACTGCACATCTGGAAAGCTGCCTAGAACCTCATTCCCTATCTCCTCTGATCATGCCTCGACTCCCCTTGAGCTTGTGCACACGGATGTGTGTGGACCGATGCAAACTCCTGACCGGGAAAGGGGCAGCAGGTACTTTGTCACCTTTCTTGATGACTTCAGTCGACTTAGCTGGGTCATCTTGGATGAGGTGGCAAAGGTGTTTAAGCGGTGGATACGCTATGTGGAGAGGGAATCAGGGGCCAAGGTAAAGGTGTTAAGGTCAGATCGGGGTGGAGAGTACCTTGGGAAAGAACTTCAAATCTTCTTGGAAGAAAAGGGTATTTCCCACCAGCTCTCTGTACCTTACACGCCGCAGCAAAATGGGGCAGCGGAGCAGCTTAACAGGACCTTGACCGATTTGGCTCGGGCCATCCTTGCCCATGCCGAGCTTGATAACACTTGGTGGGGGCAGCAGTGCAGTATGCCAACTGGGCGAAGAACAGGATGGGCAGCAAGGGGCTTGGAGGCAAGAGCCCATACTCCTTATGGACAGGGAAGGTGCCGAATGTTTCCATGGCACGAGTGTGGGGGTGCATGGCACAGTAGAAGGTACCTGACCAGCAAAGGAGGAAGCTAGATCCTAAGGTACAGTGGGGGATCTTCCTTGGGGTTTCTGAGAGGAGCAAGGCTTGGGTGCTATGGAGTGTAGCTGACCAGCGTGTGATGGAGAGCCATGATGTGATTTTCCATGAGGGGCTGAATTATAAGGGGTGGAAGGAGCGTGGTGCAAGCCATAGTGGGACTTCCATTCAAGACCCTCATATGGCCTCTATCTTTGAGGGGGCATGGGAGGACCCTGGAGATGAAGGGGAGGAGCGGCAGGAGGAGCCAGAACCAGCTGATTCTAACCATGAGGAATCCCGAGAGACAGATTCTACCCCTCAGCCAGCCACGCAGGCCGATGCGCATGATGATCAGCCGGAGCAGCATGTGCCTTCAACTCCATCGAGAAGCAGTTGGCAGCAGTTGTTGAACCAGCAGCTGTCCAAGACTCCGAGGACTCCAATGAAGAGGGTGACTTGGGAGGAGAAGCTGCGGAGGCTGGAAGAAGGAGAGGCAACACCTCTACAACGCAGTGCTCGAATTTCCCAGCCACCTGAAAGGTTTACCCCGGGGCACATTGCACGCATGCATGATCATCTTGTGTCTGATTTGGATGATTGCATGCTTGTGGACATGCATGGGCATGAGTATGCTCTTGATGTGTGTCTAATGGGTCAGGTGCATGAGCCTAGGTCAGTCCACGAGGCGCTGAACCGTCCCGAATGGGTTGAGTCCATGCATGAGGAGCTTGAGTCTCACAAGGTAAATGGATCATTTGAGCTGGTTGATCCAGCAGTGGTACCACCTGGTTTGGAGGTCCTCAGGTGTCAATGGGTTTGGAAATACAAACATAACCTTGATGGTACCGTTGAGAGGCCTAAGTCCAGATTGGTGGTGATGGGAAACATGCAGAAATTGGGAGTACACTATGAAGAAGTGTACTCTCCAGTTGGGAAGCATGCGACCTTGAGAGGTATGCTTGGAATTTCGGCTGCTTTGAAGCTTGATATCCATCATATGGACGTCAAGACAGTCTTCCTCCATGGGGATTTGGAAGAAGAGCTTTACATGCGGCAGCCCCCTGGTTTTGATGATGGGTCTAACCGAGTGTGTCGCCTCAAAAGGTCCATTTATGGGCTGAAGCAAGCCCCACGACAGTGGTACCTGAAATTTGATGAGGCTCTTATGGATTTTGGGTTTGAGAGATCTGAGTGTGACCCTGCCTTGTACCACTTTGTGAGAGAAGAGGAGAGGATCTCCTTATTCCTATATGTGGATGACCTTTTGCTCCTATGCTCTAGTAAGGTTTTGTTAGATCAAGTGAAAGACTTCTTGTCCTCGCGTTTTCGCATGAAGGACTTGGGGGAGGTGAAGTACTACTTGGGAATGCAAATTGAGCGTGATGAGAGTGCTATCTTGATTCATCAAGAGAGGTACATTCTTAACATGCTTCTGTCCTTTGGTCTTTCAGAGGCCAACCCCGTGCGTACTCCTCTCCCGACAGGCTTTGATGTGCATGCCTATGAGGATGAACCTTTGCTGCGAGATGAGCTGGTCAAGCTCTACCAAAGCATTGTGGGATCCCTCATGTATGCTTGTACTACCACATAGCCACAGATTGCATTCGCGGTCTCACAGCTATCTAAGGTCGCCTCTTGTCCTAAAATGTTCCACTTGCAGGCCGCTAAGAGAGTGTTGAGGTACCTGAAAGGTGGTGTCAAGTCAGGTATCTTCTTCCAAACACAGCCCCAATATCAGGTCCAGCTGGTTGGCTTCAGTGATGCCGACTATGTTGGAGATTCCGCAAGTCGCAAGAGCACAGTGGGTATGTGTTCTACCTAAATGGGGCAGCTATCTCTTGGCAGAGCAAGAGGCAGCCAGTGGTGGCACTCTCTACCACTGAGAGTGAGTACATAAGTCCGTATCAGTGCATTCATGAGGGTGTGTGGCTGAGGCGTTTGTTTGGGGAGTTTGGCCATGCTCATGCTGGGGGTGTGCCTGTGTTTGTGGACAATCAGTCTGCCATTGCCCTTGCACAGAATGCATGCTTGCATGGCCGCACCAAACACATGCAGCTTCGATGGCATTTCATTCGGGAGATGGTGGCTGCGGGAGAGGTGCTTTTGCAGTGGTGCCCCACCAACCGTCAGGCTGCTGATATCCTTACCAAGTCTCTTCCATTTGAGCGCCATGGTGTGTGCATGACCTTGCTCGGGATGCAGCCCCATGATGACAGGGTTCCCGCAGCAGATGCCGGCGTCTTGGTGCTCCTCTCCTTGGCGGAATCCATGCTCTGGGTGGCCCCAACCCATGGGCAAGGGGAAGTGGTGTGAAATCTTTTGCCCTATGGTGTTGAGCCACACCCAGCACGAGCAAGGGGGAGTGATAATGTGTAGTATTCTGTGGTGTAGTTTGCTCTAGCTGGTTGTAGGCTATTGGGTTTTGGGCAAAAGGACTTGGGTGGGTTGGCAAGGTTTAAACTCGTTACCTTTCCAACCCATACAACCTCAAACCCACTACACATCTTTGATGTTGAAGTTGTGGCACTTGAGAGTTTTGGCGTTTGGTCTAGGGCAAGGGTTGGTGGTGTTTGACCAATCGCATACTGGACGTTTCCAGATCGAACTGCTTCCCTTCTCGTTTTTACTTGGTGATTCATGGCTGCCTAGCCAAATTACCAGAATATCCCTCACACTGATTTCGTCATAATCGGCGTCTCAGATCTTGGTTATGAACGTGCTTTACCATTCTGGAAATTAGAGATTAAGACCTTTCCAACGCGTATAAGCTCATTTCTAGAAGTTACATGAGCAGCACGCAATGGTCCGTTGAGGTCGTCAGACTTAATCTCTAATTAGTTCTCTCCAGATTTGCACGATTTCCATCAAGCTTGAAGTTGCAACAGCATATTTTTGCACTCTACTGTAGCTCACTAATCACACTAATTTCTTTTCCCTCCCCTTCTGTTTTCCTTCGTCTCTCTTTTTCTTTCAATTTTGCCAAAGGAAAAGTGAATGGTCGCTTTCATATTGAATATATGGTGTGAACTCCACCCCTTTCCCTCACAATCTTCTCCTCTCCTCCCCTCTTTGCCCCCCCCTACCAGTTTATTTCAGTATAGGAAAAGTTTGTGGTCAAATTCAACTTTTGTTGCACAATAAGCAATCTATTCCCTCTCCTCATGCCCCTCTCTACTCCACTGAAACCTACCTCCCCGTTTGCATACTCGGTTCTTTGTCTTTCCAATCAACCTGTTTTACAATCTGCCTACGTTGTGATTACTATATGTTTTTGTTGCAATCTTGTTTTCCTTATATTCCTTCTCCTGTTCAACTCTGCACATCTTTACACACAATTTCAATGTTGATTCAAGATGTTGAATGGCTTCCATGGCATGTAATGGGTTCAGCTGCAGTTGAATTTTGCTCCCTTATTGTAATAACTATTCGTGTACACGCGTTCTTTATATATATGGGGACAAACCCAATACTTGACCCCTGTTCTGTTCATGTTACAGTCACTCGTTTCTCTCATTTCGACATGGTGCCAGAGCTAGGTTAGAACCTAGCCTCCGCGTTTCCACCCTAGGTAGTCCCCGCTCACCTCCCGACGAAGCCCTAGCTTTAGCGCACCGTATCCCTCGTTGACTCCTAGAGCCTCGTAGGCTCCGTTGCCGCCCTGCGCCCTAGCCCACGCCCTAGCCCGCACTCTAGCCCTAGCCCACGCCCTAGTCCGCGCTCGTGTCGCCGACCCGTCGCCAGGTGTTGGAAGGGGGCGCTGAGATGGCACAGAGGGGTCCCCCTGAAGGGCTACAAGTGTCATCCTAGGGGGGTGTGGGTGCGCTGACCCACTATACAAACATGCCCTTTAATCCCAGTTGGTTAGTAAACTGGGGTTATCCATGCATTGTGCGGTGAGCGTGGAACAAACACACACGTTACCTATTTTCACTGTCGTAGATATACTAAGTTCGTTCGTTCATCTTGGAGGTTGCAGCTATAGCATAGGACTATCTTTGGTGTAAGTTGCAATATATATAATTTCCCTCGAGTTACATTCTCGGACCCAAGGAGAGGGCGTTTGGTATTTATTTACCATTCGCCTAAGGACCCTTGTGAGGTGACCCCACGACGAGGGATTTAAGTAAATAGCAATTTATATTGGCTGATAGTTGATCTGTAGAGAAGCCGCAGTAATGGCGAACGCGGAGGAGGCGAACGTTGAGGTCAATGAACTGCACGAGCTAGAGGCGATTCTTCTCACGCGTCATTCTTGCGGCGAGCTTGACGATGAGGATTACGAGCTCATGCTGGAAGGGATTCAAGCAAGGTGGCGTCATGACCACCCTTCTCTTCCTGTAGCGGAGAACGCGCAAGCTGGAATTTTGCAAGGTGCGTCAGCGACGTCTAGCAACGATGGCGGTAGAGCTAGAGTGGCGAGCGAGAGGCGTTTCGCTCGTGGCGCTCTTAGAGGACACATACGCGGTAGCAATGCTAGTGTGGGTGGCATTCAAGAGCGTCCACATCAAGCGGCAGCATCGCGCGAGCGCGACCAGATAGGGCGGCGAAGCGCTGTTGGAAGAGGACATGTAGAGGAGCGCGATAGCGACGTTATGCCCGACATTATACTGCAAAGCTATGTGGCGAGAGACGTCGGGATAGCGCCTGACTACGGCTACTTTAAATTCACTCCAGACAAGATCGCCGTGCCTAGGCCATTAGAAGGGCGTCACGACCTGTCGATTCTACCCATTAGAATCGATTGAGCCTCAGCTCGAGATAGCTCAGCTCAAACGCTTTATCAACGGATCCACCCCTACTCCTCCAACGCATGCAGTAGCACTTCTCTCACAATTCCGAGCTGCTTAGTTACTCACGTTTACGACAATTTTCCGTTGCTGCTCCCCCCAAGTACAAGTCGCTCGTAAAGTGTGTCGCTTGAAGGTCGATTCCAGGTTGCACGCTGGGCAGTTCATCATGCAAATGTACTACATGGTGAAGGACAACTTGTATATAGTTCAGTTAGAGCAAGCGCTCACTAACCTCGAGATGGGAGGGCACGAGTCCGCCACGTCTTACTGCAACCCTACACAACAGCTTCTTATGAATCTCAGAATGACCAGCATAGACTACTCGCAAGCATTGTACATTACCCACGTCGTAAAGGGGTTGCCACAACAATATAACCTCTTACAGTGACGGAAAAAAATGTCCGTATGTTTTGCATTAATTTGGGTTTCTAGGCTTTAAAGCGAGGGTCTCAAAACCCCCAAACTCAAAAACTTAGGTTTTGAGAGGGGGGTTGAGAGAAATTTGCAAGAGTTACGAAACGCAGCGAAGGAAGCGGGTTGGACGTGAGGGGCAATGAAGGCCTCTCGAACAAAGCCCCACCTCGCTCGGCATGAGCAGTGTCGCCAGCCCTCCCAGGCGACGAATTGGTACTACGCGACGTCGCCCAACCCACACTAGCACACCCATCGCCAAAATACATGCTAAGGAAGAACACAATGGAGCACGCTATGCTACAATGAAAAACCCGGCCATGCGCAAGATACTAAGTAAAACAAAAAACAACCATGTAATCAACCTACCAAGCAATATTATACCACGAGTCAAAATAAATGCATGGGCTTGATGAAGTGTTCCAGCATTAGGGACACAAAGAAACCGTATTACGAATAGTACACGACCAATCAAATCCCTTTTTGTTAGCACATGGGCTTATAAATTCCAGTTCATAGCATGCGCCTGTAAATTCCCCTAAAATCCCGATAAGCAAATACGCTCGAAAATTCGGGTGATTACGGCACCCCCTGCAAGAGTGTATCTGTGCTGTGAAAGGATGGGGAAAGGGGGAATGGGAGGAGTATGGGAGCAAGGGATGATGGGGAGATGGGCAGAGAGATGGGCAGGGAGAGAGAGAGAGAGAGAGAGAGAGAGAGAGAGAGAGAGAGAGAGAGAGAGAGAGAGAGAGAGAGAGAGAGAGAGAGAGAGGGGGGGAGAGATGAGCTCAAGAGATATTGAGATAGGCTCAGGGGCTGATCATGACTGCAGGGGGAGGGGAGCAAGGTACTCAGGTTCTGAGTGAAAGAGAGTTGGGGTAAGGAGGTATAGGCGGAAGGAGGGGAAAGGTGGAAGGAGGGGAAGGGGGAAGAAGGGGAAGGGAAGCGCACCTAAAGGTCATGTCCCCAGGGCAGCCATGCCCGCCCTGGAGCCAACAAAACGGGGGTGAGAAGGGAATGAGGGAGAGGAATGGGAGGAAATGGAAGGCATGAGGGGGAGGAACAAAGAGGACAGGGTGAGAAATGGAGCAGGGACGAGGAACGAAAGCAGGGGGAGAATGGGAGGGGAGCAATGAAAGCAGGGGGAGAATGGGAGGGGGAGCAATGAAAGCAGGGGAAGAACGGGAGGGGGAGCAATGAAAGCAGAGGGAGAATGGGAGGGGGAGCAATGAAAGCAGAGGGAGAATGGGAGGGGGAGCAATGAAAGCAGGGGGAGAATGGGAGGGGGAGCAATTAAAGTAGGGGGAGACAATGGGAGCAGGAGGGAGGAATGAAATCAGGGGGAAGAAAAAAAATCGGGGGGAGGGAGAGAGGGGGGGGGAAGGGGGATAGGGGGAGAAGGAGAAGGGGGAGATGATGGGAGCAGGGGGGAGCAACCAAAGCTGAGAGAGGGAGAGGAAGAGAGCAGAAAACAGAGTGGAAGAGATGGGGAAGCGGAGAGGAAGAGAGGGGGAAGTGGAGAGGGAGAGAGGGAGAAGCGGAGAGGGAGAGAGGGGGAAGCAGAGAGGGAGAGGGGGGAGCGGAGAGGAAGAGAGGGGGAAGCGGAGAGGAAGAGAGGGGGAAGCGGAGAGGAAGTGGAAGCGGAGAGGGAGGGATGGGGAAAGCGGACTGGAAGAGAGGGGGAGACGCTGGGATTGAGGGCAATGAGAGGAGCATGGAAGGTGCAAAATTCGCCCTCGCTCTCTCCGCCTTTTCTCTCGGAATGCTGCCAGCTCCTGCGGGGAAGGAGGGTGGTTGGTTGAGGGAGGGTGCCGAGAACGAGGGAAAGGCATGGGAGCTGGGGGCGACCATGAGTGCAGGGGCAAAGGTCGTTTCTCTTTCCCCGACGGTCCTCTCACTTTCCCCTACGGTCCTCTCTCTTTCCCCCTACAGTCCTCTCTCATTCCCCTACGGTCCTCTCTCTTTCCCCCTACGGTCCTCTCTCTTTCCCCCTACAGTCCTCTCTCATTCCCCCTCTCGTCCTCTCCTCATCCCCATACTGTCTTATCCACACCCGCTTCCCGTCCTCTCTCAGCCCTCTATCGCCCTCTCCCCCTCCTGACCTCTCACCACAACCCTATCGTCCTCTCCTCATCCCCCTCTCGTCCTCCCCCCATACCCCTCTCGGCGTATCTCCATTCCCCTTTCCGTATTATCCACTCCCCCCTCCCATCCTCTCCTCATCCCCCTCCCGTCCTCTCCCCATCCCGTGCTCGTTCTCTCCCCATCCCCTGCTCGTTCTCTTCCCATACGCCTCTCGTTCTCTCCCCATATGCCTCTCGTTCTCTCCCCATATACGCCTCTCGTTCTCTCCCCATCCACCTCTCGTTCTCTCCCCATCATCTCGTTTTATCCCCAAACCCCTGCCTTAGTTCTCTCCTCATCCCCCTCTTTTCCTCTCCCCATTTCCCCTCTCGTCCTCTCCTCTTCCCCCTCTCATCTTATCCCCATCCCTCTCCAGTCCTCTACCCATCCCCTTCCCATATTTTTCCCATCTGCCTCCTGTCCTCTCCCCATCACCCTCCTATTCCAAACCCCCATACAGCTCTCATCGTCCCCTCATCCCCGTCCAGGCTCTTCTCATCCCCCTCCCATCCTCTCTGAATACCCTTCTCGTATTATATCCTTCTTCCTTGGATCCGTCCTCTCCCGATCCCCTCCCATCCTCCCCTCATCCTCCTCTTGCCTTATCCCCTTCCCTCATACATAACCCTGTTTCTTCCCTCCCCATCCCCTCTAGTACTCTCCCCATCCCCCTCTTGCCCCCCACCAATCCCCGTCTTACACGCGCCTGTACTTGGAGCGGTCGGAGGCGGACGCTTAGCGCAGTGTGAGAGTGTGACTGGTGGGTGACAGTGTGAGAGTACAACCTCATTACACTTCTTCCTTATTTCCATCTTTCTCCTCTATCTTATTCTTATTTTTAACTTGATTCATTTGGTCTTAATCTCATCTCATTTGGGTTCCTATTCCTCAATTTCCATTATCCTTTAATTTATCTTATTATTATAATTATATTACCGACCAGGCTCGGGATGTACTGGCGCCCTGTATCTAGCGTAATCCTGCCGTTATCCCTTAAAGCCAATAGCCTCGCGTGGCTATACGTAGGGTGATTCTATTTCTAGAAGGGTCTATTCCCTTTGGATAGGATAAACCTGGTTACCTGATGTACCCTGGAAGTATTAAAGTGTCTTGTATCAATCCATAGTGCAACTTTTCCTCGACCCATTCGAATCCTGTACACCGCTGTAAGAGTACGACCCCGTTACACCACTTGTCCCTTTTCTTATTTCCTTCCTCGTTTCATTTCTCTTTTATCCTCATCTCATTTGGTTTCCTATTCTCCATTTTCCATTAACCTTTGGTTTATCCTGCTATTATAGTTATATCACCGACCAGCTTGGGATGTACTGGTGCGCTATCTGCGTAATCTTGCCGTAATCCCTTAAAGCCAATAGCCTCGCGTGGCTATACGCAGGGTGATTCTATCTTCTAGAAGGGTCTATTCCCTTAGGATAAGATAAACCTGGTTACCTGATGTACTTTGGAAGTATAAAAGCGCCTTGTACTGATCGATAGTGCAACCTTTCCTCGACACATTCGATCCTGTGACACTTGGTAATCAGAGCTTTTCTCACTCGACCGCGCTCAGCTAAGCAGCAGCAGCGGGGATCCTGCCTCGAAAAACCGCCGGGGGCGACCAATTCGACGCCGATTCTGGTAAGCACCAGCTCCGCGTTTTTCAAATTACCCCCTCCGCGCGTGTTTTTAACAGGATGGCGAACCTCGACAACGCCGAGGTTACCGAGCAGCTCTTCGCGCGCATCGCAGCCCTTCAGGAGGAGATGCGAGCGGACGCGAAGCGTGGCGAAACGAGTTCGAGCGAGTAACTCGACTCGCCGGAGCGCAGCACGAGACGACAACGGCGACGACGCAGCAGTCGCAGCAGTTTCTCGAGGCTCCGAAACCGCGCCCACCTGAGCCGTTCGATCCGAGCGATCGAAACTCCGACGCCCGCAGATGGATCGCCGGATGGAGATCTACTTCGCAGCCGTCGGATGGAGCTCGCCAGTCTGGGACGGTCAACGCGTACGACTCGCGGCGACACTGATGCGAGGGCCGGCACTCGAGTGGATTGGCGGCAACAGTACCTTCATCCACGGTGAAGCCACGTGGCAGCAGTTCCGCGCCGACCTGCTGAAACGATTCGAGCCGATAAATTCGGTTTCCTTGCCCGGGAAAAAATTCATCGACACCGACAGTTCGGGAGTGTAGCGCAGTACACGCAGCAGATGGAGGAATTTTATAACCGCATTCCCGACCTGACCGGAAGGGAAAAAGTACAATCGTACCTCGCCGGGCTGAAGACGAAGTCAAACGACAAGGTGGCAAGCGTCAAACTACGCGAGCTACAGTGACGTCGTTTCGGCCGCGGAGCGCTTCGACATGGTCAACGCCGGAACACGACGGACGCACGTCGGCAGTACGCGACAGGGCGACCGCTCGGCTCACCCCACGTTCGCCGACCCGATGGAAGTCGACAGATTCGAGGGGCGGCCACGTCCGAAAAACACCAACTACACGTGTGATTTTTGGGGTGCCGGGTCATCGAATCTTCGACTGCAACAAAATGAACCGCACGCAGAGTATCGGGCACGCAACAGTGGCGGAAATCTTTCGGCCAATCAGAAGACAAAAAACGGGAGTCGCCAGTGATTGCGGATCTAGCTGGCGAAAATAAAAAGATCCGAAAGCGGCCGCGGGATTCCGGAAAAATCAACTTCGACGAAGCTGATTCGACGCGAAGGAGGAAATGATGGGGGAAAATCTCCACCCCACGACCAGTCTTCGCCAGGGAAAATCGCCGAGGAAAAATACGACTCCGCGAAAAAAGACTCTGCCGAGACAGGGAAACTCCTTGAAGACCCAAGAAATTATAAGAATTCGTTAAAGTTATCTATAAAGATGCTTTAATGAAAACTTATGATTTCGAGGGCTAGAGCCTTGGAGAAATTTCGGGAGGGACTCCAAAAGAAGCAGACAGCTGTGGAGATTATACCGGTACCGGACAACTTGGGGACCAAATTAAGGAGTGTGGAAAGAAGCCGACCTTTCCACGGAGTCAACGTCCTCTCCCGACACCAGCCCACAACGACTACCCGTTCCCCAGGGAAAGACGTCGGTGGAGCTGAAGCAGCTCAAGAGGAAGCTGGGGGTCTACAAGAAGCTGCACAAACCCCGAACTCCTCTCCTACGGATGCATCCAGTTCTTCGGCATCAGTGACGCGCACAGTCGTCAAGGAAACTCCGGGCCCTGGAGAAGAGCCGTTCTCCAAGCAGCCTCGGCCAGCTGCCAGCTCAGGAGTAGATAGCAACACAAAGGTGTGTACGGAATATTGGGATGTACCCTATGACCCAATCAATGAAACTATCTTTGGGTACTCCGAGCAACGACTGCCCCTCGTGCTCGAGGTCATCTGCAAAGGACGACGCCTCCAAGCACTCGTGGACAGCGGAGCATCACACACCGTCTGCGACAAGGCAGTAATCGACCGACTTCGGGAAGAGTACAAGCCTTCAGGATTCTCTGCAACGATGGTGGACGGCAGCAAGTTACCAGTACACGGCGAAGCAGTGCTACACCTACAAATGGACCACTGCGCTGGAGACCTGCACTCCCCATCACCAACATCAAAGGGCTTGACTTGATCTTCGGGCGAGACTTCCTGAAAAGATTCAACCCCGAGATCAACTGGGTGAACCGCACCGCAAGCATCTACAACAATGGACGGAGAGTACAGCTACCCAACTGGGACGATACAGGAGATATCCCAGTGGAGACACTCGCACGATTCGAGAAGGACGTGAAGCGAACCGACACCGGGTTCCTGGCGATAGCAACAGAGGTGGAGAATGACGGAGAGAAAGCCTCGGAACCTCCAGAAAAAATCAAGGAATTACTGAAGGAGTTCCAAGACATTCTTCCTGACGATCTTCCGAACGAGCTACCGCCATACCGAACGCATCAACACGAGATCGTGGAGGAACCGGGTTCGAAGCCGACCTTCCGAGCACCATACCGGCTCAGCCCTACGGAGCTGACCGACATGAAAAAACAGATCGAGTATCTCCTAGCCAAAGGACTCATCCGACCATCCACTTCGCCATACGGTGCCCCAGTACTCTTCACACCGAAACCGGACGGAAGCCTGCGCATGTGCATCGACTACCGAGCTCTTAACAAGCAGACCATCAAGAATAAATATCCGATACCGCGAATCGATGACCTGCTTGACCAGCTTCGGGGAGCTACGGTATTTTCCAAACTGGATCTGCGGTCCGGATACTGGCAGATACGGATGGCGGACAACTCTATCCACAAAACTGCTTTCCGAACTCGGTACGGATCGTACGAGTATTTGGTCATGCCGTTCGGACTCACCAACGCCGGCAACGTTCCAAGCCGAAATGAACCACATTCTACGACCACTTTTGGACGATGCGTGGTGGTGTACCTGGACGACATACTCATCTACTCGCGCGACATGAAGCAGCACGTCGAACACCTGCGACGCGTCTTCGAAATTCTTCGACGAGAACGATTCTACGTCAAACTGTCCAAGAGCGAATTCGCCCTTGAGAAGGTCCAGTTCCTAGGACACTGGTGAGCGCTCAAGGAGTTCACGTCGACCCCAAGAAAATCGAAGCCGTACGTACGTGGAAGACACCCGAGAACGTGAAGGAGTTGCAGCAGTTCCTAGGCTTCGCTAATTACTACAACAGGTTCGTGCCACAGTATGCGAAACTCGCAGCACCACTCACGAATCTGCTGAAGAAGAACACGCCCTAAATGGGAACCGAAGCACCAGGAAGCCGTGGAGCAGCTGAAACAAGCACACGTCCGCACCGGTACTCATCTTGCCAGATCCCGAACGCGACTACGTAATCGAAGCTGACGCCAGCGACCAGGCAGTGGGAGCAGTCTTGATGCAAGACCAGGGGAATGGACTGCAACCAATGCCTACCTCTCAAGAAACTGCACGGGGCAGAACTAAACTACCCGATACACGACAAAGAGGCCCTTGCATCGTCATCGCCTTCAAAGCGTGGAGATGTTATCTCGAAGGACGAAGAACAACCGTCTACACCGACCACTGCAGCCTGAAATACTTGAAGACACAACCCAACCTTTCCAGGCGGCAGGTCCGGTGGATCGACTTCCTCGAGACACACTTCCACTACGACATCGTGTACAAGCCCGGCCACAAAACAAAGCAGACGCTCTAGCAGCCTGCACACGTTGCCGCATTCATCGAAGGGATGAATCCACTACTCAAGGGACTCTTCACACGGGTACGCCATCGACCCCGAAATTCCCTTGGCAGAAAAGCGACATCTGCTACAGTGGGAGTGACATCGCGTACCGGAAAGGATCAACGAAAAATCTGGGTACCCAATTACCCTCCTTTGCGCCAGTTACTACTCGAAGAATACCACGACGTCCTGTACGCCGGACACTTCGGTAGCAACAAGACGCTCACCGGTATCGCCAAACACTACTACTGGCCCCACATGGCAGAACGTCCAGAAATTCGTCACCTCGTGTGATACATGTCAGCGGATGAAGAGCAGCAAGCAGAAAAAGGCGGGACTACTGCAGCCTCTTCCTGTCCCAGAACACCATGGCAAGTGGTTAGCCTGGACTTCATCACCGGGTTACCACCTACCACCAGGTCATGACGCATCCTTGTCGTCATGACAAGTTCTCCAAAATGGGACACTTCATCCCGACACACACGACGGCACGCACCGAGGAGACAGCACAACTCTTCGTTCGTCACATCATCTCACAGCATGGCATTCCAACCACACTCATTTCCGACCGAGACCCCAAGTTCACCAGCAAGTTCTGGAAGGAACTTATGTCTCTCTCGGGACCAAACTCGCCATGTCATCCGCATACCATCCGCAGACAGACGGACAGACCGAGCGCCTCAACCAAATTGTTGAGCAACTCCTCCGAGCAGCCTGCAAGGACGACATCTCCAAATGGGACTTGCACCTGCCCGTCTGGAGTTTGCTTACAACAATGCCACACATGCCGCTACTGGACAGACGCCGTTCTTCCTCTGCTACGGACGCCACCCACTCACACCACAGAAACCGACACATCGCTACAGTCCAACCTGCACATGATTTCATCACAACCATGCATCAGCTTTGGGATCGGACCCACAAGCGCCTCCTCGACATTCAACAGCAACAGAAGCGCCAGGCCGATCGCCATCGCAACGACCACACCATCACGGTGGGAGACCAGGTGCTTCTTGACACCCGCAACCTGGACATCAGCCACCTCCCATCTAAACTTCGACCTCGCTTCTGCGGGCCTTTTCTCGTTGAAGCACAGGTCACTCCTGTTACCTTCCGCTTACCCTGCCAGCTACCTGGAAGATTCACAACGCCTTCCATGTCCAACTTCTGAAGCCCTATCGGGATCCGAACACGATCTTCGTCGGACGCCAACCGCCGCGCCGCCACCGTCCTCGTCCAGAATGAACCCGAGTACGAGGTCGAGTCCGTGCTTGCACACCGCCGTCGTCGGAATGGCACCGTGGAGCTTCTCATCCGTTGGAAGGGTTATGATCCTTCTGAGGACAGCTGGGTCCTGAGTCCGACATGGGTAATGCCCGTCGTCCTCTGCATGACTACCTTGTCAAGCAGGGTGTTACTTCTACCACCCAGCTTTGAGGGGGGGAAGTGTGAGAGTACGACCCCGTTACACCACTTGTCCTTTTCTTATTTCTTCCTCTTTCATTTCTCTTTTACCTCATCTCATTTGGTTTCCTATTCTCCATTTTCCATTAACCTTTGGTTTATCCTGCTATTATAGTTATATCACCGACCAGGCTTGGGATGTACTGTGCGCTATCTGGCGTAATCCTGCCGTAATCCCTTAAAGCCAATAGCCTCGCGTGGCTATACGCAGGGTGATTTTATCTTCTAGAAGGGTATATTTCCTTAGGATAAAACCTGGTTACCTGATGTACTTTGGAAGTATAAAAGCGCCTTGTACTGATCGATAGTGCAACCTTCCCTCGACACATTCGAACCTGTGACAACCGCGGCCCAACGTCAGGTCTCCTCACACTGCATGTCGAGTCCCCCCAGGTAGCTGCGTCCATCCATGTTGACGCGTCCTGCTCCTGTTGCTCCCTCACCCCACCTGGAACTCCTGTGGCATCACCGCTTAGGCCATCCTACGCCCTCACGTCTCCGTCATACGATACTGCACGGCCTAGTCACGATCTCCCCGTATCGCTCCCCGCCCTGCCACCTCGGTAGCGCCCGCGTGCACCTCTGGCATCGAGGGCCAGCAGTGCGCCATCCCTCACTCCTTTTTTCCTCCGGTTACTGCACGCTCCAAACCCTGCACATGGACGTCTGGGGTCCCGCCCCGGTCCTTGGGCCTCGTAGGGAGCACAAATTCTTGGTTCTCGATGATGAATTCTAGAAGCTTTACCACGACGTTCATGTTGGGGCAGAAGGCCAACGTGCCAAACGCCCTCCTCCCATGGCTTCGAGTTGTCCGTGCCAGCACTCCCTACCCGTGCTCCTCCTTCACTCCGACTATGTGGTGAGTTTGCCTACGGCTGTCTTGGAGTGTTCTACCTTGAGGAGGACATCACCCAGACGTTTATCCTATCAAACTTGCCACAACAGAATGGGGTGGCAGGCTATGGCTGGTTCTACTGCTGCTGCTCCTGGCCCACGCAAGCACCCCCAACCCCACCATTGCCATTGCCAGTTATCTCCGAGGCAGCACCCCCAGGTTTAGCACCCCCAAAGCCAGCAACCCCAGAGTCGGCCTCCTCCTAGAACCAGCAACCTCAGAGTCAGCACCACCAGAGCCTGTCCCCCAGATCCACCACCCCTAGACCTCCGGTCCCCTACCGCTGCTGCTGCTGCAATTGCGGTTGCAATGACGGCTGCTATGGCTGCTGCTGCAACGGCTGCCGTAGTGGGGGGGCTGCTGAGGTGCCTGGAGCACCGGGGCCGGAGGGAGTGGCAACGCAGTTGCGGCAAGCACACCCCCAGCCACGGGGCTCCTAGAGTGAGAAGACTCTCCCACGGGCCTAATTGAGGCGAGGGGGTGGCGTGGGAGACACGAGATAGGGCCGGGTGGGGTGGGAGGGGAGTGACAGGTGGGGCAGGGGCAAGGAAGAGAGGGAGATAAGGAATACGAGTGTTGTAGCCCGTGCTTCCCACAGTGCCTCCCCTCCCGCCTCTCCTCTTTATGGCCCGCTGTTCCCTCTCGGGACTCGTCTCTGGCTAGTTTTCCCCCTCGTTCTCCTTCGTTCCCTATTCCGTCCCCCGTTGCCCACTTGTGGGTGCATCGTCCCCCTGGTGGTCGTCCTATCTCTCCTCGTGCCCGCGTCCATGAGAAGTGCAGTGCATACAGGCCATGGAGGCAGAGATGACATCTCATATATCCACTGGCACTTACCCCGATGTGGTTTCTCCCCCTGGGGCGAACATAGTCGATGGCATGTGAATCTATAAGGTAAAGAGTTGGAGAGCCGCCGCAGTTCAAGGCGCGGTATGTGGCCAGAGCCTTCAGTCAATGAGAGGGTGTGGACTTCTTCCAGACCTTCTCCCCCACCCCGAAGATGACTACTCTTTGGGTGCTCCTCCTCGTAGCTGCACAGCATGACTATGAGCTCCACTCTCTGGACTTCTCGACAGCCTTCTTGCAGGGCAGCCTATACGAGCAGATCTACATATGGCACCCACCAGGCTTCATCGGGTCCTTCACCCCTAGGACCCAGTGGAGCCTGCGCTGCCCTGTCTACGGTTTGCGCCAGGCGGCCGTGAGTGGCATGACACCCTCCGCACTATACGCGTGGCTCTCCACTTCTTCCCATCCTCTGCTGACCCCTCGCTCTATGTTTGCGCTGGTCAGACTCCATTCTATATAAATGTGTACGTATTTGGCCTTATCTTTGCTACTCCAGACAGAGTCGCACTAGCCTCAGTGAAGGCTGGGCTGCTCAGGCGACATGCCTATACAGGCTTGTAAGAACTTCGGCGCTATATGGGCTTGGAGATCTCTCGTAACCGTGCATCATGCACGGTCACACTCTCCCAGTCCCATATGGTGCAGCAGGTCCTTCAGTTCTCGTAAGCACACCCCACCCCCCTGTCTATGGACCACAAGCCCTCTACTCCTGTTTTTGGTGAGCAAGTCGAGCCTAGTGGTCCGTACGCAAATCTGGTGGGATGCCTCATGTACGTGATGACATGCACTCCTCTTGATCTAGCGTTCCCTCTCAGTGTCCTTGCTCGCTTTGTTGCAACTGCAGACATTGACCAATGCACTTGTCGGCTGCCAAGAGGGTGTTGCAGTATCTGGTGGCTTGTGCTGGGAGGACGGGAGCCAGTGGTCCTCACTGGACTCATGGACGCGTCGTGGGCTGACGACCTCGAGATACTTCGGTTCTCGTAGGGCTACTGCTTTAGTCTTGGTTCGGGTGCAGTCTCGTAGCGGTCCATTAGGTCGTTGTCTGTAGCCCATTCCATTTGTGAGGCAAAGATCTATGCTGTTGCCATGGCCACTCAAGAGCTCTCCGGTTGACGTTCACGCTCGCTGACTTGCCTAGGTCTACCCCAGTCCTGTTTGCTGATAATAGAGCCATGATCGTTTTGTGTCAGGGGGCTCGACTTGAGGGCAAGGCCAAGCCCATCCAGCTGCGGTATTTCTTGTTGCGTGAGTTGTAGCAGCGCGGCCAAACCCGCGTAGTACAGTTGGCCCCAAAGGCCAACACCGCTGATATCTTCACCAAGGTCCTGGGGCCTCGTGACCATCAGCATTTCTGTACCCAGCTCGGTCTAGTTCCAATTGCCTCTCCCTTGCTTTTTAACATGATCTGTGTAGTTTATAAAGGGTACAACACTTAGATACATTCCTTGTGTTTGTAATTTACTATTCAACTTTCTCCTCTCAATTTTTTTGTCATAAAGAAATTTTGAGTGGAAATGATAGGGAACGGATTACCGATAAATTTTTTCAATAATTGTTGTGCATTTTACGATGATTGTGTGATTCAACTTCACTGAAGTGCACATCATTTCAACCCTTAGGTTTCACCAAAAGGAACACAAGGTGCATCACGAGGTCCAGTGTATATTACGCATCAATTTGCGCTAATTTTATTTTATTCGCTTTGTTTCTTCTCTCAAAATTTATAGCAAATGTTTTTTTCAATAAACTTGAAAACGTGTCAATGTAGGTGTGTGTTGTAGTGCACATGTTTTCAACTCGGGTCACTAGTTCTAGTAGTTGTACCAGCCATTCCCAATTTGTGCATGTGTAAGGAAATGGTATTTCCTTATCACGGGTTTTAGTTAGTAAGGCATACACTACTATGATGGGGCTGCCACAAACTCAAATCATAGAACCCAAATGTGGTCTCCTGACGAGCCGCATGCATTTTGCCCACCTTGCAGATTCATGCCTAGATGTGGGCGCTCCGCGCCAATTTACAAACCACACGTCTCAGCTCTGCCGAGCCTCGACCGTATGCTCTAGGCCCAGATATCTCCACACTCCCTGTTTTTTGATGTTGCCTTATTGTATTGTTTCCTCGCTACTCAATTCTTCGACACACGCTCTTTGCGCTTCATTACACATGGCCATCAGAGCTAACCGTCCTCAGCCTTACGCTCTAGTTCCTTGCAATACCGACACTAAAGGAGGCTGACGCCCTGTGCTTACTGCATATCCTTTGTCTTCGTAATATTGACCAATAATAACTACAGCCACGACTATGTTCGTAGTGCCAGCGTGCCGAAAGCCACCCAAATTTTCCACAAAATGGTGGAGCCGTCCTCGTCTAACCCCATGACTTCTGAAGAAAAGGGCGGCAACACTCGAAGAATTACGTCTCACTCACGAGTTGTACCAGCAGGAATTGGCATGTCTGCAAGCCGAAACGGCCCAAGCTAAATCCAAGATATCTGCATTACGGAGCCAGATGCCCTAGACACGACACAACACGACTACACCAACGACATACCAAGGGCAACAAGAGCATGCTACTCAGCAGCGTTCTGAAATTCCTGGCGACAACCAGCAACCACATGCAGCTTCGCCGAGGGATCAGCGAAAATCTGCCACCAGTCATTAGACGAACAGAAGTTGGCGAAGGGGCAAATATCAACCACCGCCCCTGACTACCTCTAATGCCGGCTTGCAAACTGCAAATATCAATAGGGCGCCAGTAATTCTCAAGACACAGAGGCTGCCCACATTCGACCCGAGCCTGTCCGTCACCAAATGGGTTTTCCATATGAATTTAATTTACGATTGCAACCTCGTCGTTGAAGATTCGTAGAAGATCCAATACGCTGTAACCCTGCTACGTGGATCGACGATGGATTGGTGGCAGCAGATAATACGGACGCAAAAGTCGGATACGACGACGTGCGTGATCGGGCGTTTTCACAAAACCAATCACTCGCCAGGTAGCTTTTGCGAGGTGGACAAGTACAACACATCTCAATCGTGGTGCACGGGAATTGGTCGCAGCTTCTAACATATCCATGCAAGCAGCCAAGCGCGCGACCGCCTTTGCACGTGGCACCAACTCGGATCAGTCCAAGAATACCCTAGCAGCTTCAAGAACCTATGCAACTAGGTCGGCTATATTCACCTTGAAAAAAAACTCAATTGATACATCAGGGGACTTCGACCAGACCTACGCCGAGAATCACAAGTGCAAGAAATTACGTATTCAATGGAGGCGCAGAGGGTTGCAGAGCGGTTGGATTCGTTCGACAAACTAAGGGCGGGTTCCTACGACAGAAATCGCACTCGGGGACCAATCGAGCGTGCCACTGTACATGCTGTTACAACTTCAAAACTCAGCAGGTACAGCCTTTGAGGGTCGCTCTTCCGGGTAGTATACGTAGTTAACGGGCCTACTACTGATGGAACCTGCTCGCCTATGACTGGCGACCTTCATCGAGTTCTAGTACGGATTCACACAATCAACCAAACCCAGTTGAATCAGGGTGCTGCGACGGTTTACCCTATTTATTTAGAGGTAGGGTTCAGAGGGAAAATCTTGTGGACAGAGGTACCAGTCACTGCCTCATCAACCTCACCACGACAAAAAAAAAAAAAAAAAAGTTACCCTTCTAAAGGTGTCTACCAGGGATCGACGCCCGACTAGTCGACTGGACCCCGCTAGCAATAAAAGGCCGGGCGGAAAGAAATAGGTAAGGTGTGGAGCTGACTTCAAATCAACATGGTGGCTTCGACATGCTGCTGGGACAGGATTGGCTGCAACGCTTCAACCCTATGATAGATTGGACGTCCGGCAACTGTTTCATGAAAATCAACGGGGGTATTGCAGTGTTACAAGAATGGACAAAGGAGATCATAGGGGGAGTGGCGCAGGTGAACTCCATGGCAATAAAAGGAGTTGTCGTACAAGGAGCTGAAGTCTTCGTTGTAGTCGCTCGCGAGATTGACGTGACATAATAGCCGTACGATTTAGAGAAGCTGACAGCAGTAGTGTCAGCCGACCTCGCGCAACTGATTCACAGATTTCCGCTGATATTTCCAGACGACCTACCCGAGGGATTACCACTGGAACGGCCCTAGGACCATAGAATCGAACTGGAACCTGCAGAGCTTTTTGCTCTAACGGGAGCTTTCTGTGGAAGTGCCTGAAGCAGATAGAGCTACTCTAGCTCTGTAGTTCACTGAGAGTTGCCTTCAGAATTGTGTGTCTCACAAAGTAGCTTGAAAATTTTTGCATACACAAATTTCAGTAGAACCAAGAATACCAAATATGGCACAAAGGAAATCACTAGTACTACCTCATTGAACACTTACTACCCCACTAGAACTTTTTACATAACTACTTCTAACTGCACTCAGCCAAGTCAGCAATGGCTGGTGAAAATTGCAGCACATGCTTAGTTGGTAATTCTCACAAACCTAAAAGTAGTTTAACAGTTTTCAGGTGATGAAACTGTCAGCTGTTATGCACATTTCTGTAGTTGCGCCACTTGTGCTCAATTTCTCAATGTCGCAGGTAGTTTGCCTTTTCGGTCCAGATCGGTTTGGCAGTTTAGGGGTTTCAGGTATTTCTTGCAATTCGGAATGCCACCTTCAGCAGTAAGCGTGATCTGCGAGTCTATCTGCGGATGACACTTCAGGTTCCGCAGAAGGGTCTCCTGCAAAAAGTTCTGAACTGTCTTTCTGCAGAACCTCCACAGAAAACAGCTCGTTTGCAAATAGGCCTCTGCGCAGATCGCCCGAAGCCCCTCTGCAGCGCACTACCGAATTCTGATTTCTTCCACTGGGTCGCCTTCAGAAGCGTATTCCGAAAGCAATTCTGCAGACGACAGTCCATCTGCGAATGGCCCCTCGGCAAAAGGGTCTTCTATACTCCGTAATCTGCACAGAACACTCCCATAGAAGACCTCTTTCTCCGTAGAGCCCACATTTAGAAATTCGCCTCTCACAAGAGCTGCGCCATCAGCAAAAAGACATTTCGACGGGATTGCTCTCCGTTGACGAGCATTTCTGCAGAGCCTTTCCTTGTCGACAAATCTGCTCTTCATCGAAAGGCTTTTTGCACGGCTTGCATCCACATACTTTGTTGACATGCCGCTTCTGCAGACTTCTCCAACCTTCGAAGGGTCAGGGCTATTCTCAACAGAACCAGGGACACAACCCATAGTCCAGCGGCAATTCCGACAGACACAGCTGGAGTAAGAGGAATTACGGAAGCAATTGTATTAATTCTTTGAGAATAAAATCATATGCTTGACCTCCTCACCATTTGCCGCCCCCCATACTGTTCACCCCCCAAGAAGGACGGCGAGAACTGCATATGCACTGATTACGAGCAGTGAACATGGTGACTATCAAGTCACGTAACCCCATCTCTTTACAAAGCTTGCTTGTTCTCGAAAATAGATTTACGAGGGGGTTACCACCAGATTCGCGTAGTCGGAGATGATAGCCACAAGATTGTGTTTTGCACTAGGTATGGGAGTTTCGAGTATGTAGTTATGCACTTTGGACTCACGGATGCCTCGGCGACTTTTCAGATGACCATGAACTAGATCTTCAGTTCGCTCGTAGATAAGTGTGTTATAGTTTACCTAGCCGACATCTTGATTTAGCAAGACCAGCACTTAAAGGATCTCGAAGCAACTTTCACAGTACTGCAAGAGCATCGGCTACTCACAAATGGATCTAAGTGCGAGTTCTTAAAAGATCGGTTAGAATTTTTAGGCCACATTATCTCCACTAAAGGCGTCAAAATAGACCCGCGTAAGATCGAGACTGTGCAAGCCTGGCTACCGCCTACGAATCTTCAGGAGCTGCAAAGTTTTTTAGGGTTTGTAAATTATATTCGGAGGTTTATCCGAATATGGCGGGGGTAGCTGCACCGTTTACCGGACCAACTGCTGAAAGGGACTGAGTATAAGGTAGGGGAAGAAAGAGCAAGTTGCCTTCTCTATGCTCACCAACTTTCTGTGCTCAGGCCCTGTCCTTCGTATCATCGATCCCCATCGTCCATTCAAAAATCTTTACTGACGCCATCGACATCCGCCATCGGAGACGTACTGTTAGAGGACTTCGACGAAGGTCTGCAGCCAATCGCGTACGAGTCTGAAAGTTACACCCACCCGAGCAAAACTATCTGATACACAGCAAGGAGATGATCACATCCTATACATCTTCAAAGTGTGGCGGTGCTACTGAACGGCATGGACGTGATAGTACGGACAGACCATCGCAGCCTACATTACATTCGTGCACAGCCACTATTCAACCGTGATGATTTCGGTGGTTGGATTTTATTGAATCCAATTTCCACTACACAATCACCTATACAAAAGGGGGCATCGAACATTGCGGACCCACTTTCTCGCCCATCCGCCCATCTAAACTCCATCATTCTCGGCCCAAACTTCCCCGCTACTAAGACCTATGTTACCCACGGGTACCAGGCGGACAAATTCTTTACATCGGGTGCGTACGAATAGCTCGCAAACAGCTAAGGGAGGTCTATTATGTAAAGACAAGGACTGACCGCATCTAGGTACCAGAGTACAGCCTATTATGTGAGCTATTACCATAGGAAGCCATGATAGCACAGTTTCAAGGCACTTCGGGGCGGAGAAAACACAGCAATTGTTGACCAGATATTATTTCCGACCGGACATGCAAGGGGACGTGCAGCCGCATGTGGTTTCGTGCAGGGCATGCAAACCATGAAGTCATCGAAACCCTACTGGATAGTTGTTGCCGATTTCGCCGACTAAGCGTGCGTGGCAGCAAGTGATGATGGATTTCGTTACGGGACTACCTGCCAAGGGCGGTTGTAACGTCGCGATATTTGTCGTCGTTGATAACATGACGAAGATGACTCACTTTGCCGCCTGCAAGAAAAGCATCTTAGCTTAAGAAACAACTCGCCTCTTCATATCGACTGTCGTTCGCCTCCACGGAATCCCATCTGCATCATTTCCGATTGTGACACGAAATTTACAAGCAATTTTTTTTCGCTACCTTCGGGACTAGTTTGGCACGTGCCTACAGTTATCCTCTGCCTATCATCCCGAAATAGATAGACAAACGGAGTGAGCCAACTAGACGATGGAGCAACTGATTCGCGCTACTTGCGATGACCTGGCCGACTGGGAGCAATAACTGCCACTGATTGAGTTTGCGTATAACAACGCCCCGTCAGCCACTACCCCACAGCCGACGTTCTACCTGAATTAGGGCAAAACGCTACAGTTTCCATGACGTTAAACGTCGACAATCCTTTACCCTGGGCCCAACAGTTCGCCGAAATTTTACAAGACGTCCGGGAGCAAACAGCAGACGCCGATCTACATTGATGAGAAGTGTCTTACCAGGCTCGAGATTTAGTACTGCTCGACACTCTGAACCTTCGACTACTCATCGTCCCAAAACTTCGCCCTCGCTACTGCGGATCATTTACAATTAGCCACATGATATCGTCTGTTATAGCCCATCTACTGCTACCAGCCACTTAGAACGTCAGCTCATCATTTCACGCGCGGCTGTTACGACCATACATCGCCAGCATTAGTAAATTACCACGTCATCGGGTCAACCCGAACATCCGACCACTCGTCGAACTTACTGTCAAACCTGCGAAGATTCTCAGCCGTTGGATCAAGGACCCTCGAAGGGCTCGCCTGATCGAGTTTCTGATATCGTAGAAGGACTGGACACCCCTGGAAAAAAGCTGGGTGCCTCTGGCACAGATTGAGAATTACCTAGTATTACGAGTCTACCTCAAGTCATGCAATGTGCACGACATCGTCGGTCTTAGCTAAGACCATACATGGAGGTGGGGGGGGGGGGGGTGTAAGGAAATGGGTTTTCCTTATCACGGGTTTTAGTTAGTAAGACGTACACTGCTATAACAAGGTTATCGCACAGCTGTGCCACGATACTCAAATCGAGGCACCCAAATGTGGTCTCCTGACAAGTCGCATGCATTTTGCCCGCCTTGCTGATTGATGGCTAGATTTGGGCGCTCTGTGCCAACCTACAAACCACATGTCCTAGCTCTGCCGAGCCTCGACCGTGTGCTCTAGGCTTAGCTATATCAACACTCCCTGTTGTTTTGATATTGCCCCATTGTGTTTGTTTCCTCGCTACTCAATTATTCGACGCACGCTCTGTGCGCTTCATTACACCATGTAATATTAGCTTTAGCTTACTTTCAAGTTATTGTATTCTTCTTCATGCTTTTTATGAAAAGAACTTGAAAATAGAATTTCAACTGGTTGATCACGGGAAAGTGTATCAGCGCTCAGTATTAGGGGCCTCGATAACATGTGCGGTCAGTAGCACGATATAAAAAATCAGAATTAGCAAGTTCGCAACATGTTTCATCAGTCGAGTTCCACCGTTAGTCAGAAACTGCAAGAAAAAGTACCACGAATGGCCAGTAGAAATAACCCCCGCCCGTCTCGGAACGTTTTCCCGCCCGCGCCAGCCCAATTTCGTCACCATTGTGGCAGGCACGATATTTTTGTCAGCTTCGTGCGCAGTTCGATGGAAAAAAACACAAAACACCGAAGTTAAAATTCATTGGACATTTGTTAGTCGAGAAACACGAAAACACGATTTTGTTTCGAAGCACATACTTCCATCACAGAGTGTAGCGCGTCCTGCGAAGATTAAAAATGGTGGCTTTGTCTCTACCGCATTCACGGCACGCGCACTACTGTTTAATATTCACGCTGTGAAACATATCCTTGTATGTTATTATAGGCTACACAGGGTTGTGCCTTAGAGAGTACAACCCACTAGGTTATATTCCCTTGTATGCCGTGGTTCTACTCATTCGTTAACTTTGACATGGTATCAAAGCCATCAGGGTTCAATTTCTGGTGTACACACTATCCCAGCAGGGGGTGTGTCATGGCGTAGGATAACCTTGTCGATCCTCTCTGTCTCTCTAGGGAGGGTACAGGGGAGGCTTTCTTTGGGGAAGATGGATATATGGTGCCTAACCCTCTTGATCATATCCCTTCTTGTCCCAGTAGTTAGGACTGATGACTTTATGACATGGTATCAGAGCTCGCTTTCTTTTCTGAGGCCGCTCCTAGAGACAGGTAGTACAAGCTCCTAGAGGACAGGCAATACGAGCTCGCTTTCCTTTCTGAGGCCGCTCCCCATCTCAGTTCCATTCTGCTAGTCCTTGAGGGTGACCTAGACGCCCTTTTCATCCTGACCCTTCGCACCTACACTGAGGCCACCTCAGGACCCTGGGCCTCTCAGTCGATAGCTGCCATGGAGCAGGAGATGGCATCTTGGAGATCCACCGGTACCTTTGTCGACGCAGTTCCCCCACCTGGGGTGAACGTAGTCGATGGCCGATGGCTCTTCAAGGTGAAGCACCCTCCTGGAGAGCCGCCTGTCTTCAAGGCGGCGCTACGTTGCTCGAGGAATCAGTCAGTGTGAGGGGGGGGACTTCTTTCAGATTTTCGCCCTAACCCTGAAGATGACTACTCTTCGGGCACTACTACACGTAGTAGCACAGCATGACTGCGAGCTGCACTCCCTCGACTTCTCCACAGCTTTCCTCTAGGCAGTCTACACGAGCAGGTCTACCTGCGCACCCCAGGCTTCTCCGGTACCTTTCCCCCTGGTACCGAGTGGCTCCTCCGGCGCCAGTCTACGGCTTGCGACAGGCGCCCCGTGAGTGGCACGACATGCTACGTGCTACACTTGCTGACCTGCATTCTTCCCTTCGTCTGCAAAACACTCGCTCTTCGTCCGTTCCCGGCCAGAATCCGTTCTATATCCTTGTCTACGTAGACAACCTGGTCTTTGCTACTGCAGATAGAAACGCGCTGACCTCCATGAAGGCCGAGCTGCTGAGAAGACACACCTCCACTGACCTAGGAGAGCTACACCGCTGCCTTTGGCTTGCAGATCTCCAGAGAATAGAGCAGCGCGCACCATCACTCTCTCACAGTCACACTTGGTGCGCCAAGTCCTTCAGATGTTCGGCCTTCAGTACTCTTCCGCGCAGCCCACCCTTCTGCCAGTAGACCACAGACTCTCTGCTCCAGTCTCGGAGGAGGCTGTAGAGCCTAGTGGTCCCTACGCAGAGCTGGTGGGGTGCCTCATGTACTTGATGACTTGCACTCGTCCAGATCTCGCATACCCTCTCAGCATCTCCTGGCTCACTTTGTGGCCACCGGCAGACACCGACCACTGCACTGGTCATCAGATAAGAGGGTTTTGCGATCTAGCAAGTACATCGGGCATGGGGCTAGTGCTAGGAGGACGTAAACTAGTGTCCTTACCGGTCACACAGACGCTTCTTGGGCAGACGACGACGAGACTCTCAGGTCCTCCCAGGGCTACTGCTTTAGCCTTGGTGCAGGTGCCATCTCGAGGAGGTCCACTCGTTCCTCGTCTATTGCCCACGCTAGCTGTAAGGCTGAGAGCTACGCTGGTGCCATGGCGGCACAGGAGCTCCGTTGGCTGACGTTCTCGCTCACCGACTTAGGTGAGCGGCCTAGATCTCCCCGGTTCTGTACGCTGAAGGAGGGCCATGATCCTCCTGTGTCAGGAGCCTAGACTCGAGGCAGAGCGAAGCACATCCAGCTGCGGTACTTCCTCCTGCGCGAGCTACAGTAGCGTTGCCTGACCCGCGTAATAGTCTTGGCCTCCGGTGCCAACACAGCTAATATCTTTACGAAGGCGCTTGCGCCTAAAGATCATCAACGGCACTGTGTACAGCTAGGTCTCGTTTCTGTAGCCTCTCACTTTCTAGGACCTTGATTGTGTACAGACCTTTATATATATTTTACCCTGACTGGCCTTGTGGCCTCTTCCCAGTGGCTAGACTAGTAGTGCCGCCCTGGTCTTGCTCTTGCCTTGTTTGTACTCGTTTGATTG